AGGAATGCAAGGCTATTTGGGATGTTTTCAAAATGATGAATGCTGGAAGGGTTGCTGTTCTCCAGGTGAGCAAGGAGACTTGGGCTCCTGGTGCGATTATTGCTTTCAATAAAAGTCCTTATATCTGAATCTGTCTTTGAAGATGGCACAGCTACAGCCTGCCCTTCTTTTTCTTGAATTGCCATCAGCTCCACAATGGATTTAGTTTCTCCAAATCTCAGGAATTGCTGAAGGGTAATGATTTCTTCTTCCCTGGACATGATGGCCCAGCGGTCCAGCACCTTGCCTGCAGCATCCTAGAGGCCATATCAAAGAAACAACAAAGACAAACACAAAGAAAAAACTTATTGATTCTGCATAATTATTGAATTCAATAGAAGGTGCTCTGCTGGCTGAACATGAAACACTAAAGTAAAAAAACAACATTGAAACAGTGTTAATAGAACTCGACTGAAAAATGCTAACTTTCCAGCCATGCAAATACAATAATTAGAGTCATAGTCAGAGAAACATAGAGTTTCATAATGTTAGAGCAAACAAAATGTAGACCACAGGGATCTGTGATCTAAAATGCTTTCAATACTTCTTTTTTAACAAGTCATCTATGTACAGTACTACTGTTAAGCATACACAAGTGTACAACATGAACTGTTGCTATGCCCTATATTGTAAAATATAGAAAATTGTACCTTAATTGATACTAAATGGTAACACTACAGGGAAGACCTAAATAAATGCATTTAATAGATTTGCTTCTTAAATATTAAGAAGACATAAGACTGAAGTCAATCATGGGTCATCTCACAAAAAATTCTGATGCAAGGCAAAATGTTTTTAAAATGGAACATGATATTTGCATCTTACTCCTTTCCCCGCCCACCCCCCACCCCCTTTTTTTTTTTTTTTTTCTCTTCACCATGACAGCAATACTGAAAAACGTATTCATTATAAACTTGCATAAGACAGTAGATACTGGGACATTTGTTTTAAGCATACCTGGACTGCCACTGGCAATTGATTGTAAGCTTGCAATCATGGTACTGTTTAGACTTAAGAGATTACTTTTTTGCAGCCTTGTTATAAATGGCAGCTTAAAATATGTAAAAAGCAAGCATCTGATGGATGTAGATAGCATAAATGTGTAAAAATGTTGTCTCTTAACATTGCCTTCTGATAGCAAGGGAAAAATCCAGAGAGAATACACATCAGTAATCACTAGACTATCTGTTGTTAAATATACATTAAAAAGCATTTCACACTTTCATTTTTGCTAGTAAGCATGGGATTTGCCTGAAGGTAGGACTTAAAAATTCTGCAGTGTAATGTCAAGCAATCCATTCCAGCATGTATTGATAAAAACATATTAAAATACTTATATAATGAATACATCGTTTTATTGGCTACTTTCCTTTTGGGCAAATGATGGACATAACATCAGCATAGTAACTATAACCAACAAGCTCTGTTGCAGGCCATCAAACCAGAATTATTCCAATGCTTCCTCATGCATTAAACAGTTTGAAAGCCTTGCACGATACTCCACGGTACTGTCTCTGATCTTTTCAATTGTTGAATCTTGGCTTTAGAACCTTATCTGATCACTTTGGAATACACACTATTGCAAAACCTGCTAGCTCTTGTTTGATTATGAAGCCTGGAAACACCTTTCTTCTTCTCCCCCGCCTCCCAGGTCTTATTTCTTTTATTATTTTCAATCTTCAGAGGATTGATTCTTCTCCAAAGTACTGGAAAATGCAATTTGCCTCAAATAGTAAAACATACACTTATTTCATTACAGCTGGTTTTATTATTTCAGTTACAGTCTGTGTCACTTCTTTGGATATGAAGTTCATGACAAAGGTCAATGCCGTGTATGTTTCAGTACCTTAGATGTGACTGTAAAACCTTTAGAAAGGCTCCACATGTGACTAATCACAATCAAACCTTACAAGACTATGAAACTCTCAACAGCAATTCATTATGGAAAATCTTACCCATCTGATCCAGATGGAAAGCCCCAGAAAGCATCTCTATGAGGAAAATGTTCTGCATCTATTTACACAGTGATGAAGGCAACATCATGATGCACATGCTGGTCCTGGTTTGTAGCATTTCTCTGGAAATAGCTCCAGATATTTAACACCTTCAAGCTCTGCATGCATCTCTAATTTCTATGCCCTCCCTGTTCTACCTGTGTGATAGAGCATTATTTTACAGGCAGTCAGTGCTACCTAGTAGAAATCATCCAGAACATTAAAAAACCCCACCCAACAACAAAGCAAAATGAAACAAAACCAAACCAAAATGAGGTGGGGGGAGAGAGAAAACAACCATCAAACACCTCCCCACCCCTCCAACAATTAAAGGACAGGTTCCTATTTCAAAGCTGTTAAGGCCATGTTTTTTTCGTATCCAACTAACTTCTTTGGCTACTCTCCTCATGACTGTGACCTAAAGCTTGTTACATCTGCTTCTCCTACAACTTCCAGCCAGCCATACTGGTTCTGCATTTGAGTCATTCTTACCTGGAACTACAAAACCAGACTCAGTGTAGAAATCGGTCTCCAGGCCTCACCTCTGACCCAACTGCACAGATTTCTAATCCCAAGATAGAAGTATTAATTCCTTCTAAATGTAACATACATTATTTGAAGATGGAAATAACATCATCTAATTTACACTGCTTACATGTATTGAATTAGAATTCCTGTCTGCAGCCAGCTGTAGGCTGCTTTGTAATGTACTACTGGTAGCGATTTGTTTTCTTTTTCCTTTAATTCGTAAATCACTTACAGGCTTATGAAACAGATGGATGCTTTACAAAAATGGATATTTAAGTAAATAAAAACTAAATACAGCCGGCATGACAATAACTGATGAGAGTAGTAGGTACAGATCCTGTAACAGACTCCCACACATAAGCAGAAGGTGGTATCACACAGACCCTCACACAGAAGCAGCACACCCAGCTCTTTGCATGCACAGAACAGGCAGACATCACCTTGATGTGGGGGCTTCCACGAGCTTTCTTGGGATTTACTCTACGGTTTAGTTCAGAGAAGCTGGTGGTTGGCTACACAAGCTACCTCTCAATGAAGCGCCACTACCCTTTGTTTCATTTTGTTTAAGGATTTGCAATGAGGAGCGCCAGACCCTCAGCAGCTGATAAGTCCCACTGAGCAGAGAAACTGGCAGTCAAGGATATGATTGTCATGGGGTTACCCTCGCTGTCATACAAACAGCAGGGAATCAGAAAGCTGCTCTTCAATGATCCTTCCCTACCTTACTAGTTATATCAAGCTACATCTTGACAATTTTCAGCAAGAAGTTGTTTGGCTTTTTTTCCCCTAGCAAAAGTATGGAAAAATTGTGCAAATGCCTGTATTTTGTAGAGAACACACTACTTATGGATACTGTGTAGCATATGCTTCAGTATTTACATAGTGATAGCTTTCCATAAATTATTGTAAGTATGTGTTATACAAAATTAGATAAAGAATGAATAGGAATGTCATTTTTTGATAAAGCTCAAAATTAACAAAAAATCTAACCATTATCCCCTTTGAATTAAGCTATAGCTAGCTAGGGATCTCTCTGTATATGGTAATACTTGATTAGACGTTCAAGTCCTTTCTTACATGTAATCGATTTCTTGTTTCTTACAATCTCTCATGTTAAATTTTCTCCCCAAAGCCATTAAATCATATCCACATTTAAATATTTCATGACAAAAGGTTCCAATTTATATTACTTTTTTCAGCTCACAACTCATTAAGCCAAGCCTCCTGTGACAATGTGTACAAGGAAGTCAGTGAGTATAGAGATACCACATCACACTTGCTGCTCTAAGACAGGCAGAATACAAGTAAGCCCAAACCATACAGCATGTAGTGAAGCTCTTTCTTCTTTGCCCATACAGCCTTGTTTTATTTTTATTTATTTTATGTTTGTGAGTAGCTCTCTCACAATTTCAGATGGATTTCAATCTCTAAATCATACTAAATTAATCTCCAAGGATACAATACATAACCTTGAGTAATTTTCTAACTTGAAATACACTCTTGAGTCTTTTGTATAGATATGGATTCCTTACACACATGCTACATTAGATCTATAAAGTAATGTCATTGTCAATCACACTGAACCTGCCTCGTCATTTTTGCTGACTGTATGTTAGGAAGAGCTGTGTCAGGATATGTTAGGGTACATCTTATCTAAAACTTCTGGGTCAGATAGAACAAGTGATTGGTGTCAAGATTATTATCATGGATATTACAAATGGGCTACAACAGAAGATGGATATGAAGATCACTCTAATTTTTGGGATCTTAACTGGGGAGGATGTGAAGATGAATCTTCATTTCCTGGGGGCCTTTAGCATTTAAAAACTCCAAACTTTCAACTCAGCTTTCAAACCTCCCAATTTAAAAACTGCTTCTTTGGAAAATAAGGATAATTTACACAAATATGAACTATAAACATACATTGTAATCCTTGAACTTTTGTTATTAAATTGGTTGTTTTAAACACTCATTTTGTGTGAGAAGCTTCACTGACAGCTCTGCTCGCATTACCTGCAGGTAATTTTATATTTGTATGCTCACACGGACACATGTATGTACACACACATACAGACCACAGACCTATTGCAGTTGTATTTTTATCTTACTAGTTGTAACTCCTTGGCATAGATAAAATGTATATATACACTTGGCTAAATAAATATAGTGAGAGGTTATTAAAATAAGAGTTGAGATTACTGAAAAAATAAAAAAAAAAAAAAAAGGTGAAATTGTTTCTTAAATAAATCTTATATTCTGAGAAGCATTCAGGGATTATCTTAGGGTGTTGTGGTAACTTCTGAGAACTGCTCAGAGAAAAATACATTGCTAGCCTTCATATTTCAGCAAGTTTCCATATGTACCATAAAATGCCACTTTTGATGCATATCAATTAACTATCCATGTTAAAAATATTACATAGATATATGTCTGATTAAATAATTAAGCCTAGTGTTTATCACAAATCTTTCTTCTACTAGGCCTTTGAAAGAGCTATATATTTTCTAGCTGATCTCTAAGAAACATTTTGAGTGCAGCTGTAGCAGTTGAAAAGCAGACTGAAAGATTCATTTGATCATACTGTAATTGCAGAGGATGTTTTTAATTAGGGTGCAGACAGGAAAAAAAAAACCAACATTTGTTTCTAATACAGAAAAGCCTCCATGATTTAGGGCTTGTTGCTTTTGTTTGGCTCAATTTCCAAGGAGCATCTATTTGCTTCCCAATTAAATTTC